GTGCATGCACGTGTGTGCACGTATGAATTGTAAGTGTACTCAGCTGTAAGCAACGTCCTGACATTCACTTGTTTTTATGTTACAGAAGATACATAAACTATTGAGCCATGTTGTAAAAAGGTTCTCTTTAGCATATCACTAACAATTGTGTAAAATCATGTTTGGTTTTAATTGAACATTGATTTCCTGCACTGTACATCAATAACCTCATTTTGTTTAAATGCAGATGTGTAATTATTATTTTGTGCTTGTCTAAGGATTCTGTTTTAACAGCCAAGCTTTTTACTCAACAGTCTGTGTAGAAGTAGACTGAGGTTAGCTCAGAAAGCTTTGTTAGGTGGCTCCATGATGTTATATGTTATGCTAAAAACAAGAAAAGAAATGGAATAAATATTAAAATACAAACGCTTCACATAACTGTTAAATTACTTTGTATGATGATTCATGGAACGAAAACTTTCTTTTCAATAATCTTGCTTCTAGCTGAACAAAGGATCTCACAGCTTGTGCAGGAAGTGATTTTTTTTTTAGGGTGCAAAAGTCTGAACTGTGCAGGGAATAAGAGTACCGGAATTATACCACGAGACTGAGCATAAGCTTGATTAGAAAATGAATGACACTCAATAATCTTTTAATCTTGCTTTTCTTCTTTTCATAATTATAGGAAGGGGAAGTCATAGTGAAAAAAAAAACATAATTGCAACGACTGTGGATTTTGCAATTTATAAAGAGAAACTCAGAGTTCTGAAAAGTGGTGAAGTCGAAATCTTTCAGATTCAAATATTTAAACTGGTTTTAAAAAATGTTATTTTAGATGGAATCAGTAACTAAATCACAACAAGCAAAGCAGAGAAAATCCAACTGACTTAAAAAGATTTTGCACACAGTTTATCAGTTTAAACAAGAAACAAAGTATTTTATAACCAGTTGAAACAGGATATAGAGGTTTTTTACACTTGTCTTTAGGATTTATGCATACATCCTTAAGGGAGAACACAGTGCTTGTTGTAAACCTGCTGACTAGGTGCCAATATTCTGCTTAGAAGCTCGCCGGCTTAAGTCCCACCACTCTCCTAGTTCCCAATGAGAACCCATGTCAAGTGGCCCTTCACCTCTAGCTTAGATCCAGTCTCTCCCCTCTCTCAGCTCACACAACCATCAGGGCTGATCACTGGAGATTTCATTATGAAGGACTTGTGCATGAGAGCCTCCAATTTAATGTTCCTAGGAGTGACTGTAATCAATTTTATGAACAAAATCCAGGATGTCATAAACCCCCATCTGTTAGGATTTCTGAAAGAGAACTTCCTCTGCCTCTTCGATACCATCTATTCCAGTTGTGTCCAAACTTTTTGTGGACTGTGGGGGGCTGCAAAAAATTATTTTAAAACTAACTTTTTATATCTTTCTTTTATTTTATCTGCTCAATAATAAACTAAAACTGTAAAATGTTCTTTAAATTGACAAAATAGTTTGATTTTTGTTGAAAATGAATCTGCAAATCGCTGTCGATGCAAAACATAAAAGGTTTTGCACAGGCCGGGAGTTTCTCTCATTTTGAAGTTGATTGTTTTTTTTATTTGGACTGTAGATGATTTGTGTTTGAGTAAAAATAGATCGAATTTTGTGGTTCTAGATACTCAAAAGCTAAGATGAATTCAGAAACATTAATTAATGGGAATTTTCTTTTTAATAGGTGTTATCTGTCTTTTTAGATCAGATAGACTTTCACACCTTTCATCATTCATTGCAGATCATTGCATTTCAAATCTACTGAAAACAGACAATTATCTCCCTCAACCAGCTGGTCAGTCCAATTAAGATTAATGTTCATCTAGTTCCAGTCACTATGGGACCAGTTTGAGCAGTATGTGCTTTACTGAACCTGCTTTTTAAACCTGCTTTAATTATTCTGTTCCTGGATTTGTACCTCCAGACATTTTGAAAAAAGTCACACCAAGCAAGGTAATGGTGAATAATCCATGACCATATATTATTATTTACTACATAGACAAAAGGTCTAAAGGAGTGGAAATGTAAAAAAGTGTCAACTTCTATTCCTTCTTCAAACATGAAGATAAATCTTATTTCACTGTTTTTTTACGACATTGTTTTTGTGTGTATGTATCTATCTGCTGTTGTTTGAGGCTATTCTTAAAGCTCGCTTTCTTTCATTTTCAGCATATGCCATGTATAGCGGTATGCTAGATGGAGGAAAGTAGTGGATAAAAGCAAGATGGGAAAAAAAAAAAGCCTAAACCAATAAATGTCTGAGGGCCACAAAGACATTATATGAATTTGAACAGAAGATATGGTAGATGCTGCCTTTCCTGCCTTTCCTTTGTCAACTTTTTTTGCAGTATTGCAGTTTGTTCATTTTAAATTTCATGGTCTCACCTGCATTGTCCTTCCCTGTTTATTTATTACAGCATGGCAGGTTTTTAAAATGTCACATACAGTGGTTTTTGTGTTGTGCATTTTGTCTGTCTTGTAAAACTGAACAATTTGCATAATCCCACCCCTACATACTGAATGAAAACGCACAAAAACTTTATACATTTTTGTTCTTGGGTTTATTCCCAAATTTCATAACTAACCATGTTCCTTTGCTTAATGCAAATTGAATCTGAATGGTGTAATCACTGGACATTGCCTTAGAGTCTAGATTAAAGTTTAGATTTGGATTTGTATGTGAAAACATCAACAATAATCTACAGTTTTTTTGTCTGGCAACAATCCAATGTTCTGACAACAACCTTGAAACCTTGAACTTTGTGGATACTCTTAACTGCAGTTTAAGAAACTTAGTTCATTTTGCCAAAGGCCATGCAAAGTTCTGAAGAACAGTCGGAAAAAGATTGAATGTGAGAAACAAATACATTGCAGGAAATGCAAAGTTATTTTTATTTTTATTTTTGTCAGAAACTGGCTGAAAAATGGGACAATCACTGAAGTCTAAACAACAGCACACACGCTACAATGTGTTTTAAAAAAACACAAATATTATTTTGGTTATTATGTATTTCCTTAAAAAGCAATTATGTAAAATAAAACATTTTCTTTCGGTTTAAGATATTTTTTGCACATCTTTAAAGAAATGTGCAAACAAAAGTTCAGTTGCTTTGTTGACTTGAGATACTTTAACCAATTTCCAGTATTTTGTATCCCTGTGGTTTCTTGTGGTTTCTGCATCTAAAAAATGGCCTAATTGACTCTGATTTGAAGCATTCAGCCTGCACACCTGGCATAGATCAGCTGTTGTTTTTCATGCATCTATTGTTAATTCACACTCACTGCCATGACTCAGCACACTTGCAATCCACTGTGGGCATGGCAAGCATGAAAGTTGATTGTAAACATAGTTGTTCAAAGAGCGGGTTGTTGACACGATAGAATCTTGGCTTCAGTTTTATTTAGCTAAATAATCACAGCTTTTCTATCCAGATTGCTGCTGAACATCCTCTCATAGCTGACTTTCTATTGCCTCTTGGGGAAAAAAAAGAGAAAATGACTTCTCCATCTTTAACACAACAAAAATACAGATGTATCGGACCATTATGATGGCAGACTTTCTCTTCCCGTCTCCTGCAGAGCACGATGAGTGTGCCAGTGGCCAAAGCTTGTGTGATGAGAATGCCATCTGCACCAACACCATCAGAGGACACCTGTGTACCTGCAAGCCAGGCTATGTGGGGAACGGCACCATCTGCAGTGGTAAGATCCTGCCCTGGAACAGCCCTCTGGACACAGAGCAACATCCTTAAGCTTTCCTCACATCTGACTGGAGCTCATTGTGTGCTTGATGCCAACACGGTTCTCTCCATCCTTAAATCACCTAACCAGGCAGCAGCTGCAGCAGAGATGATGAAAATTGATTCTAGACCAGTTTCAGCCTGTTTTCACACAGCCTCTCCAGCATTGTTCTCCCTGTTGACCTGTTACCCCAGCACCTTGCCTGGTTTGCACACCATTGGCTAAAATTAAGCACCTGTTTTCTGAAGTGTGTGTTGCTCTTTCAAAACTTCCACCCCATCAAACTTATTGCACTCAGAGATTTAATTTATTTATATTTTTCTCATTAGCAGATTTTATTTGCCCTATTTTTTGGTGTGCTGCATTAGTTTACTTTGGGAAACTACAAAATCATAAACATGGTAAACATCTGTATGTATATGACCTAATAAACTACAATATTCACTGCTTCAGCTTTTCATTGAAATACCACTAACAGGTACATCCAAAAAGGCAATCTCATGTTTTTTTTTGTCTTTGTAATTACGTATGTTTGTACAATTTTCATAAAAACTCTTTTTTTGCTGTCGGACCTTTTTTTTTTTTCCTAAAGAAAGAGACAAAGTAAAACATTATTACATTAAGTTTTGTTTTAAGGAGATTGATAATTTTGTTTATCTGACCTATATTTTCAGGTTCTCTTATTTGAATAAAGTTAAATGACCCGACTTAGCTGAGGTTGCCAATCATGCTGATAATTTAAATTCAACACAGTAATTTAAACTGCAGTTTTTATGTGGGTCTGTGTTGACCATTGCCTCCCTCATCTCACTTCTGTGCTCTGTAACTGTTTTAGTATGCTAATAATGTGTATTTCCGTCAAGTGCTTTGGATTCACACAATGTCTCGAAAGGATGTAGCGCAAATAAGATGAGTTTTAAATAATTTGGACTGCCTGCCATAGCTAGTCTTAGTAATGTGTCACAATTAATTTAATTGTTCATGTTATTATATAGAGAAAAAAGGCTGGTGTAAGACTGGGGCTTTTCTGTGTGGACTGTGTTGATTCCATCTTACAACAGGTAATTTTGGGGGAAACAAGAAAGTCAGTAACAACCCAAGTAGCATCTAAGGAGACTCATTAGACTGCTATGACCCTATGGAAACTATGACACACATAAGTAAGTAAAACATAGAAGAAAGTGCACATGTGTACATCAGATCAGTCATGAGATCATTTCAAAGTATCAATCCTGTTTTCAAAATAGCAATCCAGACTTTAACCCAGAAAGACGGGAACTAAATTGTTATCACCTTTAAACCCAGAGAGATCAATTTTTAGAAACTCATCTTTTCTAAAATATTTATTGCTGTTTGCAAAAGCGTTTAAAGCAAGATCTCCATGGTTGTACATATTTTATATTCAAACTAACACAAAATGCACATTGCAAAAAGATTATTCAGCAATAGAATTTGTTGAGCGTACAGAGGAAAGAGTTTTACACAACAGGGGATTTTGCATATTAAAACAGTTTGCTTCTCTCTATCAAATTTTCCTACAGGTCTGTTTGTCAAGCAGTGTTTATATGCTCACATTGTAATTTCAAGTGAAATTCTGGGGAAACATTTTCAGGTGTGGTTCATAGTTCCTGTTAATGTCCTATAATAATACTTCAAACTCACAATTATGTGGCCTGAAAACCTTTCGCTATCTAGTCCTCCTCATTTCCTGGTCAGTGTAATTTGCCTTTTTTAAGCAAGCAATAGAAGTAATAGACAAGAAGTTCTTTAATCTAAAACTTTATTTCCAACCTGCTTGACTGGAAACAAACATCTGCAGTCTCACAATTTGTTCTTTATCTCAGATTACACAGGGCATCTATGTTTTGGTTCTGTGCAACTGTTGTCACAACATCCAACTGGAACTGATTTAATTCATTATTCTGTTTTACTCTACAGAAAAATGTAGAAACTATATGAATACAGTAAAAACTATGTTTTTGCATAATGCTTAAAACACATTTGAATAAGATTAAGAATTTCTTAGTTTCTGAACATTTTTCGGTCTATTACTTAGTTAATATTCATTGCTTACTCAATTATATTGCTTCATTTGTAAATAAAGACATCCCATCAGCTTGCATGAATTTCTTTCATGAAAGTTTCATGACTCGGTGTGTATGCTTGGCAGCTTTCCAAGTCATGAGGGTATCATTAAGCCTAATAAGGCTTTGGGTTTCAGACCTGCTTAAGCATGATCTTATTAAGACTCACTATTTAAATGTGAGTCAACAGATATAGTCATTTATTTAATGTGATATGAGATATTTTGATAATCTTTTATTTGGCTAATGAAAATCACAAAACCTCATTTATGGATAAATTTGACAATTTCCTAATTGTACCTTGTTTTGACAGTAATTAGGCCTTGGAAGTATCTGGTCTGTAAGATCAAGATGAAACTTTATAACGTGATAGCAGTGACTCAGGACAGTGATCTCTGAAGATGTGTATTCCGGTGCTCATTCCCTCTATGTGCCATCGTTTTTATTTAGGCAAGAGTAGCATATTGGTGAAAATAAAGACACACTGACCCCACAGTTATATCCCAATTAAATTTCTGTTAATTTTTTTTTTCATCTGACTCATACTTCTCTATAAAAACCTCACTGAGGCTTTGGAAAAAGTTGAACATAGAAATGATTACTACAATTTCAAACATTTCTGGACTCTTTTTGTCTGATCACTTAGCTTCTGGTTTGAACCAAAGCTTTAAAATGTCACGTTCTTGTCAACATTTTTTTTTTTTTTAATTGCGGTTAAAAGCTACAATTTATGTTTGAAATATTTATTGTCATACTGACTAGTGTGGAACATAAGAGAGAATGTAAATGAGAACGTGTAGTATGCTGCAGTCAGTGTACATCTTTATGACAAAGACGGCCAAAGGATGAGAGTGAGACAGATTAAAATACAAACAGAAGCATCATTGATCAGAGGGAGAGGATTGTGTCATCTTTTCTAATCAAATGCAAAACGGATATTGGAATGAGAAGCAGGTAGAGAGCAGGTCTAGAAATAGATCAATGTCATTTTCAAGTGGCTTCCCTACAGATGAGCTTCTGTAGTTACTCGATACTCACACAGAATAAAAACAAATGTACGTGCAGACTCATGCATACAAAAATGTGAAAAGAAAACTGACCAACAAAGTTCTAAAAATCCCCAAACAGTGCTAAGAATGTGAATAATTCATTTGAGCACAGAGATAATCCAGGATGGACTCCACCTATCATAGAATAAATGTCATGGTTCTCAAAATGGACCGTAGAAAAACTATGATGCTGTACCAAAAAATGGTAAACCACCAACAAACAACAAAGATCTATATAGTGGAATGGATTAGTGATCCCGGTGCATTACCTCTGCTCACACTGTGAAATATATGTTTATATTGAGTGGATGCACTTTGTCAGGGCTCTGGCGATAAACATCTCTCGAGGCTAATTAAGTTATCTAAGTGGCTCACTGCAAGACGATTCAAATGGTTTACTGGCTCGTACAGCCTCATACCCCCACCCCCAAACAAACATTCAGTGTTGTGTTCATTCTAATAAGCAATGGGAGTTTAACAGTTGCTTTATTGAGAATATTCACTCTTTGCAAGCAGGTTTTTATGGAAACAGATGAGGGAATAAACTTGGCTTTAGGTTTGTTGGTGTAATCATTAAAAAGGAAGCTCTAGAACATGCTTTATTTACACATCACACTGGCATAGTATGATTTGATTACTGGGAATTTATCTAATAACTGCAAAGCAGTAAAAAAAAATCACCATAAATTCATAACTTATATGCTTTTCTTCAATGCCCATCCTAAAGGCCTCAGTGTGCGACAAGCAGATTTCCTTGCAATTGCATTGAATAACTTAAATGATTCACTCCAGTTGCATGGGTTTGATAGTTTTCCTTTCAGGACAAAGTTGGTGACTCCAAATGATCTAAAGTTATTTAGCATTTTAACTAAAGAATAGAAAGTTAATTAATTCCAGATGACAAATAGTAATAATTCTTAACAATAAAATAACCCTCATTCATGGAAGCTGCAGTACAGATGATTAGCTCGTACACACCGAACGTTTGACAGTGACAATCCTACTCACTGATAATATTTGTCAGAAAATACTGAGAATGTCATTAAAACTTACTGCATCTTGCCTATTCTGTTCTGACCAATTAGTAATATGTGAAAAGGGGAGTTGGAGTATTCTGTCTCGACTTCCCCCTCCCCCGAGGCCTCATTACTTTGTGATGGCAAAAGGGCCGGCCAATCGACTTGTGACTCCCATTTCATTCCCCTCATACATCATCGCTGCCCTCTGTGGGATAAGAAATTAGTGTGTCTGCATGTGTGTGTGTGTGCATGCATGCGCGCGCCTGTGTGTGTGTGACTGCACCCCTCAGCTTGTCGCCATTAATGTTAGTGAGGAAAAAATAAAAGTGTAGTTTTCTTGAAAAATGAGACCATTACAAGGGGAGCAAAATTTGGTTTCCGTGTTAGAAATATATCAATTGCTGTTACCAGATGAACGGGTGAATTCCCTTAAGAAAATCTCTAAAAACTATATTGAACTTGCCTTTAAAAAAAATTACCAAATTTCATTTCCAACGATAGAACACAACCTGTTGTCTCTGTTGATAATTTAAGAGTAACAAGTACAGCGAACACAGTAGTAATGATTCAAACATTCAGGTTTCTGTTCTAAAAAGAAAACTCTCTCCAAACCTGTAGCCCCTGTTAAAGCTCACTGATGGATGGATCATGAGTTACAGCTACACATGATAAACAAGTTGTCTGACAGCATTTATTTTGACTCACTACTTTATCTTAAAAGCCTTCAAAAGGTGCTGCAGAACATAGCATTTATTTTCTCAGTATCACTCCGAAGAGTTGCAACGACTGGCAGTGTTTGTGAAAACGCA